AGGAAATGCCGGCACCTTCTAGCTGTTAATAATAATAATCATTTTTATTAGAGTAATAATAATAATCATTTGTATTAGAAATACATAAAACGTATCCTATGTGATTTAAAATAATTCATTTATGCACTCCATGAGATACGGCGCTGCAGTGACCCATGTACCTAGAATCTAACCTCTCTGCAATCATGGCTAGTATGCTGTTAGAGCTAGCCCGAAGAAAAATCAAAGTAGTCGAAGTCCGACTTTGAAAAATATCTGAAAAGATTTACTTACAGAAATAAATATAATTTATTATAAATGACACTCCATGGAAAAACTTACAATTTCACATGTTAGCTTCCATCAGTTAATAAATTTCAACTCAAACAATGTTTGTCTACATAAAATTAATCGTTTCCAATGAAAGCTAATGCGGTCCGCATTTCGACCGGGAATAGAACCCGGAAATGGTCGTTTGGCAACCGAACAGTACACCGTTTGTTCGAAAAGGTCGTACTTAGTGTAATAATAGAACAAAGATATGACTGTTTTGGTTAAAATGAAAATGACGTGCTTAAATTGTTAGTTTGAATACTAAAATCCATACTAATATTATAAATGCGAAAGTGTGTCTGTCTGTCTGTCTGTTACCTCTTTACGCTTAAACCGCTGAACTGATTTAATATGAAATTTGGTATAGAGATAGTTTGAGTCTCGGGAAAGGATATAGGATAGTTCTTATCCCATAAATCATCCTTTAAAGAGGTGAAAAGGAGGGTGGAATCAAGAACCGCTGCACGGACTTAGATACGGATGGCTTAGTGGTTTAGGCGGTCACCATGCCGGTTACTACTAGGCTGAGTGTTATCGGTTGGATCCCCACATGGGACGACACTTTGTGTGATCCACAAATTGTTGTTCTGAGTCTGGGTGTTCTTTGTGTTCGTTTCATGTATGATTGTAAAGTCCCCCGCGACACAGGATATATTCCTAATCCTGAATTACTTTAAAAATAAGGACATAGACTACTTTTTATCTAGAAAACCGACATACACAATAATAAAATAATATACAAAGCTGCTAATATAATAAAGCTAGTAAACAATTTATAGACGGGCCCGTGTGTCTACGGTTAGTGATTCTGACTGCCAAATCAGAGGTGGGTTTGCTTCCCACGAAACAAAAATAGTTGTGTTATGAACACGTCCATTTATTCTGTACATGGGCGTTCTTTGTCTATAATTTGTATCATCGACATCATCATCATCAACAGCCTATAACGGTCCACTGCTGGACATAGGCCTCTCCTTAGAAAGGAGGTTTTGGCCTACTATATCACGCTGGCCAGACGGGTTGGTATAGGGTTTGTTTCAAGTTTTCCTTCTCTTTGCAGTGCTGTTGTCCTGCGTAGTTTGTTCCCTTAGTCGGCTCTTACGACACCCACGGGTTGAATAGGGGTGGTGACATTCCGTATTCTTAATCCGTCACCACACGGACAATAATGTGTATGTATTTAGAAATATTTATGTATGTTTATCATCAGCCGTTATAACACGGAATCTGCTTATTTTGCGGTGAAATTGGCGTGTCTAAGATGTATCAACTTATGATTATTATTATTTCTATGTGTATTCATGAACGTGTGTTTGGAATTAGTGTTAATATTTTTATTTACATTGTTTTTGTTTCGTTTGTCTTGTTTTTTTTTAAGACATCTCCCGCATTAATGATATATATTCTGTGTCGCGGGAGACTTTGCAAACATACATGAAACGAACACAAAGAACACCCAGACTCAGAACAACAATTTGCGAATCACACAAAGTGGTGTATTATGTGGGTATCGAACCCACAACACTTAGCGCAGTAGGAAGCGGCGTGGCGACCGCTTAAACCACTACGCCATCCGTGCAGTCGATTGACACCCACACATACACACTCACGTCTTTTATCCCTGAAAGTTTAGACAGAGTCGTATTAAAAACAACACTTAGACTAATGCCGACAATTTAAGTAAAATAATTTCGTTTATTAATTGTATTTTCTTCTTGTAATAAATAATACAGACGGAAAAATAGTTACTGATGCCAAATTCACAATCAACTTTAAGTATCTTGTCATATTGTTAAACATAACAAAAAAAAACCTAGAAAACTTTTTGTCAAATATATATTTTTTGTAATAGTGAAAAAAAATAGTTCTTAGAAGCTATAAGCAAGTTCGTTCAGGAGGAAACACATCTGAACATTATGAGCCCTGACAGTCTTCGTGCAAAGTAACCCGACACGATATGTTTTTTTTTTCTTTTATTAAATAGAGACGCGGGAAACTTTATACTTTATAAGACAGTAGTAAGATCTTTGTAATGTTCTTTTTGTTTTTTTTTTTTATAAAATCATTAGAAAATCGCGATGTTTAGTGTAAGCGTAAATACAATAATAAAACAAGATAACAATTTTTTAAATTGAATTTGACATAAACCCTATAACACTCGTTTGGTCAGCGTCGTATAGTAGGCCAAAACCTCATTTCTAAGGAGAGGTATATGTCCAGTAGTGGACAAATTAAGGCTGTTGATGATGATGAATAGGTAGCTCGCGTAAGGCAGCTGGATTAAGGGTCCCGATGCAGAAAGCAGTTCTTCTCGATAGGGTAGGTACTCTGGAGTCCTAACCACCGGTATCTCAGTCCCTTTACCTGATAGCGATGGGTCACCATTTATTTAGTTTTTTTTTGTATATTTAATGGAATAAATAGAATAATAATACTGCCGGACATCTGACACACAAAGCCATCTAGTTTCAAACTAAGCAAAGCTTGTACTATAAAAGCTAGATTGACTGATATAATACTAATATCCCTTTTTTTTGTACATACATTATAATCTATAGAGAACTCCGAAACAAATATTCGTAGTTCCTACAAACATTTGGTCCGACCCGGATATCGAACCCGAGACCTTAGCACAGCAGTCTCATACGTTACAAATGCACCACCGAGGCACATATGTCTTACGGCATTCTGGTACATGTCGCCGGGCCGGCTCGATCGGAGTTATACCACAGCCTCACACAATACCGGTGTTAAGCACTTCTGTTGCTTTTCACCGATTGAATGAGGTAACTAGAGCCCAATCCTCGCACCCCCTTCCTTTGATGCTGAGAGGGGGGGGGGGGATACGCATAGGACGGTAATTTGAGACTCTGGAGTTGCAGACATACCTCGGCGGCGGTAGTCACTTGCCATCAAACTCGAACTCTCTTTATTTCATAAAAAAACTTATGTGGACACACAATAGCAAGAATCTGATTTGTCAAATATTTGGCAAAATAATACTCAATAGTGACTACACGGATGGCGTAGTGTTTAAGCGGTCGCCACGCCGCTTACTAGTACGCTGAGTGTTGTGGGTCCGATCCACACATGGGACGACACTTTGTGTGATCGGATATCTCAATCATTTATTGAATCGACTGCACAGATGGCGCAGTGGTTTAAGTGGTCGCCACGCCGCTTCCTACTGCGCCGAGTGTTGTGGGTTCAAACCCCACATGGGACGACACTTTGTGTGATCCACAAATTGTTGTTCTGAGTCTGGATGTTCTTTGTGTCCGTTTCATGTATGTTTGTAAAGTTACTCGCTACACAGGATATATTCCTAATGCGGGAGTAGTCTTTTAAAAAAAAAAGAAAAAAGAAAAGAATCAAAATGTACATAAATGGTTTTAAAAATATAGAACCATTATGGTTGAGATATTCATTTTAATGAAATGCTGTAAAGAGCAATTTTAATCAACATTAAATGTACAACGTATCTAATTGGATAAGGAATTATAAATGTTTTATATATCGTTTTAAGATATACCATTCCTTCATCCATTCCTTAGTACATTATTTTCTTCTATCTCGTAAGGACTAGCCACTGTAAGCGCGCAAAACCATTTTAAGCTATTGCATAGCTTCTATCAAGGGCCTTGAGCGCGGGGACCGAATCCAGAAATTCGAAATTCCGTAACGAAAAAAACCTCACGCTAAAAACAAAACAAAAACAGTACCAAAATCAAATGCTGAACGTCAACGGAAATTTCGTCAACATAATGCAGAAAAATCTTACATGGATATGTAATTTGATTTAATAATAATATTTTTTATTTATTTATTTAAAAACAAATTGTAATATATGCTTCAATACTTTTATTTAATAAAAGAAAAAAAATTGTTTTCTTATCGGTCACCACGCTCAAAAAGTGTAACTTGAATTAATATCAAAGAAAAAGAAATACTGCATAAATAAAATAAATAAATAATTATAATTGCATAAGTTGATACAAAATGCTATGCAATAGCTTTACCGCGGCAGTCCCCGAGTGCCACACGTCTTTTTTTTTTTAAACAGATCTTTGAAATTCTCGTATTGTCTTTACTATAATAAGCATGTATTATAGATATAAACCTTTCTCTTGAATCACTCTCTCTATTGTGAAAACCGCATTAAAAGACGTTGCTAAGTTTAAAAGATCTAAACTTACAACAAAAAAGCGACTTAATACAATATAATGATGATATATATTTTTTTTTTTACCACATTGACACAACGCCATCTAGTCCCATACTAAGCAGAGCTTGTACTATGGGTACTAGACAGCTGATATAAATACATATATACTTTATTTACTTTTTTTTTACTTTTTAGTAGGCCAAAACCTCCTTTCTAAGGAGAGGCCTATGTCCAGCAGTGGACTAGTATAGGCTGTTGATGTGATGTGAAACTTTATTTTGTAAATACATAGGTACTTATTATACATAGAAACACCCAGACCAAATCAAACATTAAATGTTCATGCACACAAATGTTTGACTTGAGTGGGAATCGAACCCGCGACCTTTGGAATAGCAGTCCGTTACACAAACCACTTCGCCATGCTGTCGTCCAAATATTTTTATCTAAATATATATATTTAAATTTAGATAAAAATTGAATTATCCTATTAAACTCATAAATATTTTCTCTTTCTTTCCAGTGGGGGCACAGGCGATAAACAACTGGACTCTTCAACAGACGACGACAGCGACGCCCCACCTCACGCGCCTCAACCGCATGCGATGCCCACACACGCCCCCCAACCCTTATACCCTTTGTACGAACACCCTCTAGCCCATCTACAGTACCATCATACGTGACCAGCATCTACGTATGGAATTACAATGAAATATATTTAAGTTTTCCAATATTTATTTGTATTCTAAGTATTTTTCCCAACACCATGGTTTGTATTAAAAACGTACATATTTCTTTTGGACCTTAAATATTGCTCTGAGTTTAATAACTAAATATAAATAAATATAAATATAACTAAATATAAACTCCATAAATTTAAATTATTTCATACGTTACTAGCAAGGCACATTTGATTTCTTTGTGTTATCACAATATTTATATTGTTATGTATATTCTATTCGTAAATTATATTACTTCTACCAGCAAAATGAATTAAGTATGTTTCTAGCCCGTTGCTGGTATCTACTAAATAAATACTAACCGCAAATGAATCTTACTAATTTTCCCAAATTATCTCACTTCTAAAATTAGTACACATCCTTCGGTAACATCCTTAATATATAGCTGATAAAATAAATGTAAACATTACAATGTGTTTATTTCTTTTTGTTGCAACTGCATCATTAAAATAATGTAAATAGTGTGTACATAACGTACTGCCAATATTATACATAAACATTTAGTGTATTATACAAAATGTGTACACTTTTAATAGACACATTTATTTAAATTTCAAAATGATTTTGTTATTTAAATTTTTAATTATTAAGTTGTATAGGACCACGATAATTTATATTGTTTCTGTATGTATCTAGTTTGTAACTATGTTTTGTTAAATACACAACATACTATAACTATTTATTTATATGTATTTTATACAATAGTTTTATTAAAACTAATAATTTTACATTCTCGTTCTCATTATTCTGGTTTTCATAAAAATACATAAATTAAAATAACACACAGTACAGTTAGAATAACAATTAATGCGTGTACCATAATGTACATATGTTAAAATTTGAGTATAGATTTGGCAGAAATTGAATGCTCTCATGTTATTCAAAATTCCCTGCGTTTTCTTATTGTCGTCTAAAGTTTCTTGAAAAAATACCACTACTAAATGATACGGTAGGGCTAGTTTTGCCCAGACATCGTAGAGGATACAACGAATCAAGATTATAGGTATATGTATAAAAGAAGATACAAACTAAAGAGTATTTACTGTGTATAGACAGCTGACGTTGTTTACGCAGGACAACAGCACTGCAAAAAGAAGGAAAACCTGAAACAAATCCTGTACCAACCCGTCTGGCCAGCGTGGTATAGTAGGCCAAAACCTACTTTCGAAGGAGAGGCCATGTCCAGCAGTGGACTATTATAGGATGTCGATGTGATGACTCGGCTCCTATTATGTGCATGATGTTAAAATTATAGCCTATATCCTGCCTTGTTAAAAGGGCTATTCAACACTAAAAGAATTTTACAATTCGAACTAGCAGTTCCTGAGATTACCCCAAACAAACACAAACTTCATCTCTTTACAATATTATCATAGATATATTATTAATTTCAAATTTAAAAATACAATCCAGTCAAATTTAAATAATTATTGTTTGTTCTTTGACTACCATAATAGTGTCGAACATTATTAATTATAATAATTTTCGTATTAAGTATTCACGCACACTGTATTAGATATTCATGCAAATATGAGGTGATAAAGCTATGCATATAAGATAAGTTTACTAATATCTTTATATGTCATCACCAGATCTCTGATCAACTGATAATAAAGGTTGAAAGGTCAATGATTTGAAATATATGTATATAATTAATTATTATAATATCCATACTAGAATAAAAAAATAGATGTAAAAAAATTAGGAATTTATTTAGTGAAATTGTAGAGGGTTGAGTGTATGTTTATTCCATATCGATTAGCTCTCGACGGCGAGCACGTTTAGCGTTGTGATTGGTGGTGATTTCTGTGCGGGCCATCGTAGCGCTGAACGCAGTCACGATCGAGTAGAAGTGAAAAAAACTCGCACTTGGCCCTAATAATATACAGCAGGGCTCAAGAGAACAATCAGCACGACACGAGGGACTTCTGGGGAAAGGTGAAGAACGGGCAACGGGGGAGAGACTCCCGCTCTTCACTTCATGCTCCGACTGTATTTAATACATCATCGTCATCAACAGTCTTTAATAGTCCACTGCTATAGGCTTCTCCTTAGAAAGAAGGTTTTGGCCTCCTTTATAACGCTGGCCAGACTTGTTGGTATACGGCATAGGGTTTGTTTAAAGTGTTCCCTCTCTTTGCAGTGCTGTTGTCCTAAGTAGTTTACCTTAACCGGCTTACCCGGCTTAGCCGGTTACCCTTAATCGGCTCTTACGACACCCACGGGATAAATAACGGTGATGACACTCCATATTCTTAATCCGTCACCACACGTACATTTAATATCATCATTCATTCAGAACGAAGGTCTCCCCCAAAGAACGCCAACCATCCCTGTCTTGGGCAATCTTGGGACTGACCACTTGATAAAAATGGCTGGCAGCGCATGGACATTTAATATACATACCAATCATTATTGTATACACGTTTATTTGTTTGATAAGCCTTAACTACGAACTGAACATCATGAAATACATACACGTTGCCATATCCGACAGAAAATTAATTGTTTTTGTTAAGAAGTAGTATTTTAACACTCTATTCATTGTAGTAAATTAAAAATTAAACCAGAGATTGTCGGTATCTGGTGTACGGTGACCTTTACACAGCAGTTGAATTACAACACAAATAATTATGGAGATTAACCTAGTAGTTTCATCTAGGTGTATATTCCGTACTCTATAGGGTCATCCTCTTTTACATTATCTTACAAAATTAATAGGTACTCTATCCAATACAAAATTTAATAAATAATAACCTCACACATCACACACACGGCCGTCTGATCCCAAACTAGGCAGAGCCAGGCAACCAGACTGCTGATAAACATACTTTTATTTTCTAAATACATACAAATTATAGATAAATTACACCTAGACACAGAACAAACGATCGTGCTTATCACACAAATATTTGTCCTGGGTGGGAATCGAACCCACGACCTCCGGCTTAGCAGTCAGGGTCACTAACCACTAAACCAACAGGCCTGTCAAAATTAAAAACTCTTCAGTTAACTAAAACCATTTATATTCAAGAAAACAGTATTTATAAACAGATTTAACAAATTATATACATGTAATTATGGTAATTTTCATGTTTTTTTTGTATTATTTTATGTTATTATATCTGTATTTATGTGTATTTAATAAATAATTTATTATAATTATAGCATTTGAATTCAGGTGAAACAATCTTGATTGTAATACCCGTATTTAAAATATTTAATTGTTAATAGTTGTGTATTTTATATACTTTACTCCACCGCTGTAATTATACAATAAATTATATACATATCACATAACCACTAATTCTTATGTAAAATTATTTTTAGTTTAAATATTTTATTTATTGTATAAAAATAATACTTAGTCAATGTTTGTGTTTAAAATCTTAAAATGTAGTCATTTTTATCATTTTGTGATTGAATCTTAAGGCTTCCTATGTTTATTTAGAAAGTAATTAATTTTAAATTTTGTAATTAAAATTCGTATGCTTTGAAACTGAAATATAGAAGTGAGTAATAATAATATTGGTATTATTACTCTCTCTATTTCTGTTAAATGGAAGATCTGAAATAGAGAAGTATTCACTTTATAAAAAAAATAAGCCGTCGCAGGACGTGCGACAGATGTGAAATATGGACATTAAAAGAGTCGGAGAGTCACATGAGCATGGCATGGCTACACCAAATTACGTTTTACTATCACATAACGTGGTGACTATGGTGGCGACGCATTTTGTAGCGATGCGTCGCCACTCATACAAGCAGTCTGATCCCCGTCTTTTATTTCACATCAAAATAGCGCTTACTTGTAAATATTATACATGTATTTATGTAATTTAATTGTTAGTCTAAGATAACTATTAGATGCGTAAATCGGGACTTAAATGTAAGCAAATTTTCAACACTATCATCTTTGTACCTTGCCCCCAACTCTGTTCGGGGTCAGCTCAATATGCAATATTAAAAAAGATTTTGATCGGTATATTTTATAACCAAAACGCCTGAGTGACCGCAATCTTCCTTAAGAATGTAATCAAACAAATTAAAGAAAGAAAATTTAAATTAAGTAAGGGATAACATAGCAAGTTTTGCATGGGGGATCGGAAGCTGGGGTGGCCCGTATGAGTACCTATACTACTTCAACTCACCACTAAATTCACTGGTCAATGAAATAACGTTAAAATAAAATCAGACAATTTCTATGAAATACAGTAACGATTAAGTCCAATTGAAACACAATATGTATAAAAGTTTGGATAGTTTAATAAACTTTTATATGACAAGTAGCGACCATGAAGTCACAACTCCTTAGTTGTAGGCGTACATGGTCCGCTGTGCTCAACTTCCATCAGGTGATCAAGCCACTCATTTGCCTCCTTTCTAATTTACTTGAAATATCCCATAAAACTACTGAAAAAACTTCTATTATTTTGTGTAAATAGCCACCCGTATTCTTTGCACATGTTTAAAGCAATAATTTTATATTAAATAAATGTATACTAAAAATAAGATAAATTCATTAAATAATAAAACAAATAAATATAAACATCGGTAAAGTTAGTTAAAATTAAACTATTTTAATATAATAAGCGGACAAAATGTTTTTATTATTTCTGACATTTTTACCAAATGTAAACTTTAACATTTATTAAGTTATTATTATTACTTATTTATAATTTATTTTATATTAGTAACGTGCTGTACAATACTTATTTAGTTATTAAACGATTTCATTGTCGTTTAAGTTAGTATCTTTTTCTTAAAAGAAAAGTGTGCTGTTATAACAGTGTTTTATTTATTTCAAAACATTACCTTTATGACTAAAATATGAGTTTTCTACATTATTAAATTTCAAAATAGTGTAGGCATGGGTTACAATTCATATCTATGCCATAAAATATTTATATATATATATACATACACAATACATTGTCAAATAGTTGGCCTTTCACAAAACATTAGCAACTCATGTGGTGACGGATTAAGAATACGGAATGTCACCGTGGGTGTCGTAAGAGCCGACTACATGACAACAGCACTGCAAAGAGAAGGAAATCTTGAAACAAACCCTATACCAACCCGCCTGGCCAGCGTGGTATAGTAGGCCAAAACCTCCTTTCTAAGGAGAGGCCTATGTCCAGCAGTGGACTGTTATAGGCTATTGATTAATTGATTGATTGAATTGCTAAGAATTTAAAAACAGTATCTGTACCCATGTAGCTCTCTCCATCCTCATGATGGCAAACGATCTTGGTTAGCATCAAAAATATTTTGACCAAAAATATTTCAGATAAATTATTTGCGAGTAGGGACTAAATTTCAAGTATACTTGGCACTTGACTGCATCGGTGGTGCAGTGGTAGCGTATGCGACTGCTGTGCTGAGGTTTCGGCTTCGATTCCTGGGTCGGACTAAATGTTTGTATGATCTGCAAACATACAAAAAAAAAGGATATAAGTATTCTATCAGTCAATTTAGCTTTCATAGTACAAGCTCTGCTTAGTTTGAAATTAGATGGCGTTGTGTGTTAGATGTCCAAAAATATTATTATTATTATACTGGTATTTGAGACACCAGGTATCACCTCGGGTCTCATCTGTATTAAATAAAGCATATTAAGCTACATTTCATAGGCACGGTGTTTGGCATTTAATTTAATTACGAGGGACTACAGAAAAAGAGGATACGCATTCCGCTACTTTTTTACCAAGCTTATTAATAATCATTTCAAAAGAAGGGCCATCTCAAGTGAAACTGTTATCCAGTCGCGTCGAGCAGAAAAACTATTTAGTGGTGTTAAACACACTATACACAATTGCAGCACGCAATATATTGGAAAAAGTGTAAGCAGAAGCCGAAGTAGATGGGTAATGGAGAGAGTTTAATATCAAATGAAAAGCTGTTAATAATAGTAATAATATTAAGATTATCTATTGTGTTTATCTCACGAGATTGTCGATATGTGGAATGGTGATTCAGTGATCATTGTTCCGATAGTCGTATAGTCGTCGGATTGATAGCCAAGAGCCTCGACCAACACCTTAAGAGGCTTACGGCTGGATCAAGGGTCTGATGCAGAAGGCAGTCCTCCTTGACACGGCTTGTATAGTAAGGAGGTTCCTATCTTTGGAGTCCTAACCACCGGTGTCTTGGTCCCTGTACCCGATGTCGGTGGTCTACTATTTTTTAAATTTTTAATTCTGCATTTTTTAATATTTTTTTATAAAGTGTATGTTTAAAAATGTAAATAATATGTATATAAAGTAAATAAAGAGAAAAATAATATTGTACCACATTCACACCACGCCATCTAGTCCCAAACTAAGCAGAGCTTGTACTATGGGTACTAGACAACTGATATATATATATATATATATATATATATATATATATTATAAAAAATGTACAAAGGTGGAGTTAATGCCGTGATCATTCTCTGCCAGTCTATCTTAGGGTGGTGTAGAGATAAGTGATTAGGTGTACTAAACTCAATAACAAGACTTAACCAAGAAATAGGTTGATACACAAAAGGATACGCGAAAAAAAATGCGGGTAAAAAAAGTGATGAATATCATTAAAACTTTCTTAAAAACATATATACACATATATACATTCGTATAAATATATACCAATAGTAGGCCAAAACCTCCTTTACTAAGGAGAGGTCTATGTTCAGCAGTGGACTGTTATAGACTGTTGATGATAAACATAAACATATACATATATATACATACATACATATACATACGATATACAATACATATACTTATTTTTTTGTGAATACATATTTATTATACATAGAAACACCCAGACCAAATCAAACATTAAATTGATCATGCACACTAATGTCTGACTTGAGGGGGATAGAACCCGCGACCTTTGGAATAGCAGTCCGTTACACAAACCACTACGCCATTCGGTCGGTGTTAAATAACAGGAAAGAGAAATTGCGGACGGATTAGGCAGTGTGAGCAAGTTCGACTGAATAGATGGCGTAGTGGCTTAAGCAGATACCTCGCCGCTTCCTACTGCGCTGAGGGTTGGATTCCCACGTGGGACGACACTTTGTGTGATCCACAAATTGTTGCTCTGAGTATAGTTGTTTTTTGTGTCCATTTTATGAATGTATGTAAAGTTCCGGGCGACACAGGATATATTCCTAGTGCTGGCGTTGTCTTGTTTTATAAAAAAAAGCTCTAGGCTCACATGCTTGTAATTCTAATTGGCTGTGACCTGCAAGATCACATTCCTCTTAATATAACGTGAGAGAGCCATGCTTCGGCGCATATAAGTCCGATTGACCGGAGCGATGCCACGGCCTGAAAGAAAACCTGTCTTAGGCAAAGTGAAGAGGGAAGGAAGGAAGGAGTGGCGTCAATGGAGGCCTAAACTTGTTCCCAAAAGGCCGGAAATGCTTAGTTCTTGGGAACGTTGTCGGCGGCGTCATCGCGTGCGGCGTACGTACAGAGAATCTCGCGCCTAAGACAGTCAAAGACGGCAACGCACTTGTGGCTCCACAGCAGTGACCCATGAACACACCGAGTTATGACAGTCGGGAAGTCCCAGGAAGAAATTAAATTTTATGTGTATGCCGTGATTCCACTAAAAACCACTAGGACGGCCAGCCTTAGGCGCCCTGCTCTGGGGAGAACCCGGGCCATGTGATTTCAGGTCCCCCAGATCGACGCCGCACCTAACTAGGCCCCATCTCAGGGAAAGCCAGTGGCTTCTCCCTGCCTCTCAGCCTATCCAGATGTTGCAGCCCAATCACATTTTCAGTGCGATCAGGCTGCCATTCTTTCCCCTACCGCAGCAATTAATCTGCCACGAGGTCCCCACTCTCTGGCGGTCCTCTCACGGCCCTCTCCCGATCCCGTTCAGCGGTCTCTTTCTGGAGCATTACAGCTTCACAGAAAGAGACCACTGCGCCCCAGCCCTGCTCACCCGCCAGCATGGTAGTAATGATTGCTGGCGGGGACAAGTCTCGTCCGATTTCAGCGACCAGGACTTCGCGTTCAGATGCCCACGCGGGACAGTCTTCCAGCGTGTGCTGGGCGGAGTCCCAGTCGGCCGCGCAGTGCTGGCATTGTGCCGTCTCCTCGCGTCCAATCCGATTCAGGTACTCACCGAAGCAGCCATGCCCAGTGAGCACCTGCGTCACTCGATAGGCTACCCAAGCTTCGAGGTTAGGCAAAACGGCACCGACAGCACGTTGGCGCGCATTCCGCAGCTGTTCCAACCGCGCGCGCCACTGCGCCAGTGCCTGTCGGTGAACGTTCCGCCGCATTTCGAGCTCGTCCTGGTCGTTCTCGCTCTCACCCCGGCGGATTGCGCGCGTCTGGTCGTAGACCGCCAGGATATCAAAAGGCGGGAAACGTGCCAGGATTGTCGCCGCCTCCGACGATATGGTACGGTATCCCCGTACGATCCGAATGGCCGATTGAGCTTAGCTCGGCAGCGGGAGGAGGCCGATAAGCGCTTTGCCCATATCGGCGCTAGAACACGCGTACCCTAGTTGTTCGTAAGCCACCTACTTCAATTTGAAAAGGTAAAAAAAAAAAAAAAAACTGGTTGTTATCTGCCTTGAACTTTTGTTTATTATTTGTTACCCATCAATTCTTCGTGTCTCATTAATATTTTAGGTTTTTAATAGACATGTCATTATTATTTTGAGTGAGACTATTACTCAAATACCAGAACAGTACAAAAAATATTTAGTTTCCAAAATGTTGCTGATAATAGGCTCAATTGTTTTTTCTTTGCTTTACTGTTATTACAAGGAAAATTGATACTTATAAATATTTAAAGGTTGTGAAAGTTTAGTTTTTATCAAAGTCAAGTACTTTTATGATTTGAGCATCCACTGTTTTGACGACAGCGCCTGTCTCTAAATCTGACAACTCAATCCTCATATTCGTATAGAAACCAATCGATATTCTCTCACTAGACTTCACCAAAGTCGGTAAACTTCCATCCTTTTGAAGTAACCATAGGGGATACGCCCACCATTGATGACCCCTATACCCATTTTGATAGTTACAAAAGACGTGTCCAGCAACAGTGACTTCGTATTCAACTTCAATTTCCATTGTAACTTGCGTGGCAACTAGAGTTGCCAATACTCCATCACCAGGTGGAACTTCAACACTCGATTTAGTTCCAATTGTTATTTTCCTTTCTTTTGTAGTATCATTACCCCATTTCGAGGTATGGGATAAACTAATTTTACCACCAGTATTTCCCTTACCAAAGTGTATGGTATAACTAAAATCTTTTCCAATGGTCAATTCTTTGCTTTTATTCCATGTATGAGTAACAGTTTCTTCTACAGTTTGTTTAACTGCTGCTTTGTGTTTAACTGTATATGCTGTTTGATTATTTTTATACTCTGCTGTAGCAATAGCTACTGGTTTCACGTTAATACCGATTATTCGAGCTTGTACTGGTTTTAGAGTTCTCTTGATCTCTTTCCAGCCAAATTTACGATAAACATCTTCCCAGGGCGTCGGACGTTTTAGAAAGACGTCTGTGCAACGTTTTCCTGAAAATATTTTTGAGGCTCTTTTTAAGGATTCGTCGTCAAGTTGAAAAGCCTGTCGTTCCTCTTCACTGATAATTGCTTTTTCTTTGCCACTGAACTGGACTGAAGCGTCAGTAATATTTTTGTTTCCTTTGATTTTAATCTTGACATTACCGTAGGCAAGTGCTGGGAGAAGTATCAGGAGAAGAAATTTGTAACACATTTTAATCTGAAAACATAATTTATGTTATAACGATATTGACTACACAAACTCTTTCTGTCGTTATTCCTATTTTCGATTTATATGTATTATAATATCCTTAAATACAAATGAATTTTTGACTATATTAATGGCATCGACATAGTTGTGAACAAACATTTGTGTTGTAAACTAAAGAAATCTTTTTGATAAAACAAATAAAAGAGAACACCAATTATATTAAGTACATTTTGAAAACATAATTTGTGATTAAAATTGTTTAGTATTTATTGTACGCAAAAAAATAATATAAACCATGATACTCTTTATTGTACAGACCTGTTTACATTAAACTCCAAAGCCAACCAACCTCTGGAACAGAACGATACCATTAAATCAATCGTACACTAAATATCAATTATTGTTAATGGTTGACTGTTATCTAATGGGTTTTGTCATTTGTTGAACCACAAATATGAATTATTTTTTGGTATTGTTTAACGCTTCTCGACATATTAGTCCCTAATTACTTGTATGCTTTGAATCGGGTAACAGTATCTTGAGCTCAGCATAGAATAGCAGTGATGAAGTAGGTTTGAAAACTAGTTATATATTTGTTTCTTGTATATATTTTTTTTAACGAAGTTTGAAAAATTTGTAACAAGACTTTTTTCCGACACTAGCCAAACGGTCAATACTGGCCATCTTCATTGATATCGAAAGCGCCTTTGACAAAGCCAATTTCACCAGCATTAGCCAAGTTCTGTCTAGACATGGTGTTGATTCTACATTCTCAGGGTGAATCGATAGCCCCACACGGGGGGGGGGGGGTCGTCTACTCGTCTGTAGATGACCCGAGGTATGTCGGGGCACCAGGGACTTCCTTTCTAGGGTATACCTGGTTCCCCGGCTATTAGTACCCGAGACGGCGTGCGGTTTTAGTCGGTTCGAGTCCGAAATGCCACCGACAGGTGGTATCCAGGGGATTTGGGGATTTCCGCACGGGAAAAAAAAAGAAAAAGGGGTGAATCGATAGCATGCTAAGATATAGTGCTATTCAGTTTACTGTTAGCAAAGTAACTAGAGGGGTGATGGCTAGATAATGCCCTCAGGGCGGTGTACTCTCCCCCCTTCTATGGAACATAATTGTGTCATATTTGTAATATCCATCGAACTTCATTCTTTTAGTGACGCATCGCAACATGCATTTATTTGCGATCTTTAAATGCAGCGAACATAGTGACCGTTAACTTGCTTTGTTCTAAATATAAAGTTGCTTCAATTCAGGGTACAACCATTCGCAGACTTGAATTATGTGCAGCTTATGTAAGGCTGTCACGGATTCACTCAGATTTACCATTAATTACCAGGTACACTGGTGCCATTCTTCAGCTGTACTAGGCTGGCTTTGCGCCAGTAATTAAAATCTAAGATATTTATCGCAAATATGGTTTGTGAAATTTCGGAATTAACAGATTTGTCATCATTTACGTACCTACGTCTGTTATTCCCGCTGACTTCATATCAAGAGGTATGTGTCCCGATTAGATTGCTAGTACTAAGTTATGGTGGGCAGGCCGATCATTTCACATGGAACCCGAAGATACATGACCAATCTAAAAACTAATATTGATATAATTAAGCTACCTGATACTAAACCTGATTCTACTATTATTCGCAATATTTCAACGCAAACAAATGATATGATTTTGTTTCAAAATTACTCTAGTTTAATTAAACTTAAACGATCTTTTACTTACAGTCTAAGATTCATAATTAACTTAAAAAATAAAAATAAACGAAATTTAGGCAATTTAACCGTTGAGGAATTAAATATTTTTTTTGTCATTGATGTCGGCTATCACAAATCATTTTTAGACGAATATAATTTGTTATGTAATAAAAAACCCTTAAGTCCTATATCAAATATTTTATCATTGTCTCCATTTTTAGATGAGCATAACATCATCCGTGTTGGTGGTCGGGTAAGATTTATCGGATTTAAATTATGAGAGAAAACATCCAATTTTACTGCATGCTTTGATTGACATTGATATTTGAATAAGAACACAAAGGCGGGTTGACTGCCAGACTGGAATGTAATGTCTAATGTAAAATAGATAGATAGATAAATACTTTATTTGTACACCAGGGTTTTACAGACATTATAAATTAATTAACAACAGATGTAATGTACAAGGGGCGGCCTTATCGCTTAGTGCAAATTCATTTTAAACTGGTGATAGGTATGCAGAAATTAGAGAAATAAATTATTCTATTAAGATTAAGTAAGATTATGCATTGTTATAATAGGTTTAATCATAAAAAATATTATTATTTAAATTTATAGAGACGTATATACGTATTTTAAAAGACGCAAACACTTACCGCAGGTTACATTTTTATTGCACTGGTTTTATGTGTAGGTATACGTTTAATGCACAATACGATTAACTTTAACACTGTGTTGTCGCCGAAATAGAGATCGATTTATTTATATTATTTATCCATTTTACATGGCATTTTCGGTATAATCTATTTACGAAGTTGAGTAGGCCAAGCAAAATTAATAACGGGATAGCAGACAGTATTCTTTTTTTTTTTTAAAAAAACGCCACTCCGTCCGGCACAGCGGTGATACTTTTTAGTTTTGCCATCTATCGATGAATAACAGAACTTTTAATGACTTTTTTGAAATATCACGCTTCTCTTTAGTTCAGCGACTCGCCTCTGCATTGGTTGTATCAAGTGTCAAACTTATGTTTCTTATTTCAGTTACCATAATATAATAAAAATATTTTGAACAATATTAACTTCTCATTTATTTAATAAAAGAAAAAAAAATGTTTTCTTATCGGTCACCACGCTCAAAAAGTGTAACTTAAATTAATATCAAAGAAAAAAAAACAAAGGAAAAAAATACTGCATAAATAAAATAAATAAGTAATTATAATTGCATAAGTTGATAAAAATGTTATGCAATATAAATGCAATATAATAAGCTTTACCGCGGTACAGTCCCCGAGTGCCACACGTCTTTTTATTATATAATACATACGTACAGCCCATAGAGCCAATAAAATTGCACTCGATCCATTGTCAAAAATTCTTCGAAATATCGAGACGAACCTTACAAGGGATAGTCTCAAATTCGCTCCGTCAGCAAGGTCGCCATGTACGGTTAGGTGTTTAGACTAGTTAAATGAAACGATTGAATTCCGAATATACTTTAGTGATTCGAATAGTAAAGGATTACAATTTAGAGTGTTATAGCAATATAGAGAGTACCTAACATAGAGTAGACTACATGTATTTAAACATACATCACAGTAGCCAGTGCCGTAGACTGATTACCGAGATTAATGTCCTTAGTCGATATCAACGTGTTTAACTTCTTAGACAACATTTTTGGAGTAGGTGGAGTAAGGAGCACCAGGGACTTCCTTTCTAGGGTATACCTGGTTCCCCGGCTATTAGTACCCGAGACGGCGTGCGGTTTTAGTCGGTTTGAGTCCAACATGCCACCGATAGGTGGTATCCGAGGGGATTTCGCACGGAAAAAAAAGGTGGAGTAAGGAATAGATATCTGAGCTCCAACTTAGGATGAAATGGCGAGCACGTAAATTCTCTGAAACTGAATTCCTTAGTCCTACTAGAATAATAATAATAATAATAATAATATATTTAATAAGATAATCACCTCCCCACTCAAGTTGAAAATGGGTCGGATTGTAGATACACATCCAGGAATCGACGGCGTAATTCGAGTTGCTGACGTCAAGACTTCTAGTAGTGTACATGAAACGGACACAAAAAAACACGCAGACTCAGAACAACAATTTGCGGATCGAACAAAGTGTCGTCCCATGTGGGGTTTGAACCCACAACACTTGGCGTACTAAAAAGCAGCGTGGCAAACCATTATATATTATAATAGGTCTTTACCTATGAAATTGCCGTTTTGTATGCAATAAGTGAAAGTACTTATTTTTGCAACAAACTCTTCACAGGCATTTTGTACTGCCTCTCGGGAATTGACTTTTTACCCACTAAAAAGTTGTCTAAATTTTGGAAAAAGTAATAGTCGGTAGGTGCAAGGTCTGGTGAGTATGGCGGATGAGGGAGAGCTTCCAACCCCAGCTCTTGCAGTTTGGAGACTGTCTGTTGCGCAGTATGGGGTCGCTCGTTGTCGTGAAGGAGCAGTGGGGACGACCGATTGACCAAAGCTGGTTGCAGATGTGCAAGCTTCTCCATCATTCTCTCCAGTTCTTCACAGTACACATCTGCGGGTGCATTAATGCTTGCGGGGTAAAAAATTCAATTCTCGAGAGGCAGTTCAAAATGCCTTTGAAGAGTTTGTTGCCTCCCGTCCAGCTGATTTTTACAAGAAGGGCATCAATAAACTGCCAATGCGTTGGCAAAGATGCGTCGATTGCATGGGTGATTACTTCGAATAACAGAAATAAAAAAGTTTGAAAAAATAAGTACCTTCACTTATTGCATACAAAACGGCAATTTCATAGGTAAAGACCTATTATATCCATGTTCTGTTTTCTCAAAGGCGGAAGTTACGCCCGGGCCAGAGCGAAGAGCGACATAGTAGCGGAGGAGGAGATCTCGGATCTCCTGCAGAGACATAGGAGCCAGAAGAAGGAGGTTTTGTCACCCAAAACTCCGTGTCCATGTAAAAGAGGGTGAACGTTCCTGTGATGGCCACACAATTACATAAATCTAAAGATAGTTGTCATCAAATATACGAACTTCAGAGGTCAATTTGTTAGGGCCCTTAAGGATTCCTCCTCCGCAATATCTTGCAGGGTTCTTGCGTTCAGGCGGGTGCCATCATGACCGACCTGACGCGCCGTCAGGCGGCTAGCGAATGATGGTTTTTGGGTGTCATTTAAAATCGTTACAGTTTCTATAAACTTACAATGTCAATAAACTTGGCTACTTACGGTAACATAGAAAGCTAAATTAAGTGTCAAACGATGTAAATCATAAAATAAAAAAATATACCTACTTAG